TGGAAATTGTCCATGAAGATCTCCACAAACTGTAACTGGATATTCAATTTTAATAACATTTGGTTCATTTAATAATATTTCTTTAGCTTTATCACATAATGCACGTAATGCATCTTCAGGAATAAGGTTCATATTGAGAAGATTCTCTATCATACGATCAAGATTGGATTCACTAAAAAATGACATGAAAGTGATTTTTTAGATGTTATCTTTTTGTATATTTTTATTTTTCTTTCTTTCTTTTCAATATTTTTATTTTTTTTCTTTAATTTTTTTTTTTAGAGAATAAATTTTAATAAAAATTAATAATAAATTATAATTTTAGTTAAAGAATGAAAAACAAAATATAAATTTGAAAATAAATAAAGTTTGACGTTTTTAATAAAAAAAAAAAGAAGTTAAAAATGAATTAATTTAATTCTTAATTAGATGAAGAAAAGATTAAAGTAAAGAATCTATTGGATTTGGTTTATTTACTTTATAAATTCTAACTATCCAATGTTGAGAAGTGAAAGCTTCTTGAATATTTTTGAAATAAGTTTGTTCTTTAATAATTTCTCTTCTAACTGCATCCATTCCAGAATGATAACCATTAGAAGCTTTATAAAAATTATGATAACACATTTTATACATCATACTATATTTAAATGTATTAGAAGGATCACCTACAGTATAAGTACCATGATTATAATAATTATTTTCATTTAAAGAAGGATTAACACCTGCACCAATTCTAATCATCCATAAGAATTTATTAATATCATCTGATGAATATCCAAGATATCCACCAAAAACAACTAATAAATAATCAACATCTAAATCTCTAATTGTCTTCATTGCATCTTCTTCTTTTGATGCCATAACATTTCCTGTTAATGCAATATGACTATTATTCCATGTGTTATTATCAACTATAACTGTTCTATTTGCTAAATGACTAATTTGATAACCATAATCCCACCAACTCATAATTCTTGATCCTTCTGGTGTATTATGTGCTAACCATCTATAAGCTTCTCTATAATCATCAAAAGCAACTTGTTTTCCACCATTATTACCATATAAAACAACAGATGGAGAAGAATAATTTTTAGACATTTGAATAGAATAATCAAAGAATTTAAATAAAAAGATAATTAATAATATTCCAATAATAGTCATAATAATAAATGTTATAAATTCATTAATAAATGATTTTTCAATATTTTGATCTTTTTTATTTGTATAAATTTTTCTTTTTTCTATTTTAGTAGATGTTTCATTTGATTGAATTTGTTTTTTATTTGATTTAAATAATAATTTTAATGTACTTTCTAATTGTTTTTGTATTTGATTAAAGAATTCTGTAAGAGCAATACCACTAAGTAAACAAATAGCAGGTGCTAAAATTAATACAAGTCTTGACATAACACAACTAAAATAAAATACAGAAACAGAATAAATAATTAAGAATAACATATTAAAATCAAATTTTTTAAAACAATAATATAAACCTGCTGGTGCTATTAATATTAAACAATGAAGATCAAAAAAATATGATGCCCAATTTGCTGGTTGATGTTCTGATACTGATACAATTAATGGAATATTTTTCTTTGCAAATGTTGGATCAAATAATGCATAAAATCTACCAGACCATGCACTAATATATCCTTTTTTAATTAATATTAATACTATTATAATTCCAATAATAACACATCCCATTAATATTTTTTTAATTAATTCAACTGTTTTCTTTTTTCCTAAAAGTTTATGTATTAATGAATATAATTCAATTAATTGACAAATACCAAATACTCCCATTGCTCCTATATGTTCAGAAGAACGAATTGGAACATAATTAATAAATGGAACTTGCATAGATAAAATAGTTGCAAATATATAATAAATAGAATAACAACTATATATTTTTTTATTATAAAATCCACAGAAAATAGAAATAAGAACATGTAATGGAATAATATTATTAATAAAAACATATGCTCCCCATGTTGATGCCATATAAAAATATGATAATGCTGTTATTGCACTTAATATTGGTGAATTATTATAAACTGCCTCTATCCAAAGATAAAATGTTAATATTAATATTGTAATTGAAATACATTCATAATCATAACTTCCTGCAACACTTCTTGACATATAACCTGGTACAACTGAAATTAATGCTGCTGCAAATAATCCTGCTTTATCTGAATGTACACGTGATCCAAATAAATATGCAACAATACATGTTATTACACTATAAATTGGTCCCATACAAACACAAATTAATCTTACATCAATTATTAAATTGAAATATGCTAAAAATTTAAATATAAATGCTGATGTAAACATTAATCCTGGAAAAACAGTTGTACCAATATTTCTTCCTAATGGATACCAACTATCTGGATCAAACCAATTTATAAATGCTGTTGGTCCATGTTCAACAAGATATTTTGTTGCTCTAAAATTAAAATATGGATCAAATTCATGAATAATTGCTTCATACATAATAATAGAATATAATCTAGAACTAAATGCAATAATACAAATAAGAGTAATACCTATATTTTTTAGAATGAGTTGAATAAGAGTTTTAAAGAAACCCATTCCAGTTAATTCTTTTTTTTAATAGTTCTTATTTATTTTTTTTATTTTTCTTTTATTTTTCTTTTATTTTTCTTTTATTTTATAAACAAAAATAAAATAAACTTAAAAATTATCGAATCTATGAACCAAAAAGAATTAGATGAAGAACATATTTATCTTTTATCTGTAGTTCAAGCTTTTCAATTATATGAAGAGTTTGGTAAACAATGGGTTATTTATCAATTATCAATGTTTAAAAGTTTAAAAGAAGAAGATAAAAAATTATTACCTAATTATTATCAAAAATGGAATTTAATATTATGTGGATTACATGCAAATCAAATGATTTTTGATGCAATCATTAGAAATCAAGAAGATATAATTACTCATTCAAAATTTCCTATTCTTTCTCAAAAACAACAACATAATTTAATTACTTCAATGATGATCAAGAAAGAAATGAACTTTGTCAAAAATTAGATAAAGTTCGTTCAATGTTAACTCATTTATATAGAGATTGGAGTATTGAAGGAATAAATGAAAGAAAAGTTTGTTATGATCCAATTCTTCATAGATTAAAAGAAATATATTTAGATAATCGAAATAATATTAAAATACTTGTTCCTGGAGCAGGATTAGGAAGATTAGCATATGAAATTGCATCATTAGGATTTCAATGTGAAGGAAATGAATTTACATATTATATGTTATTAACAAGTGAATTTCTTTTAAATGGAATAGAAAAAATAGGTCAATTTAAAATATTTCCATGGATAATGGAAACAAGTAATTTACTTTCATTTAATGATCAAATAAATGTAGCTACAATACCTGATATTATTCCAAACTTAGGAAATCATCAAATGTCAATGGTAGCAGGTGATTTTGTTGAAATATATTCAAAACAAAAAGAATCTTTTGATTGTATTGTAACATGTTTTTTTATTGATACTGCACATAATATTATTGATTATTTAAAAATTATTTATTCATGTCTTAAATTACATGGAAGATGGATTAATGAAGGACCATTATTATATCATTATAAAGATAGTGATTCTCTTTCAATAGAATTAAATTGGGAAGAAATTAAATCTATTATCTCATCATTAGGATTTATTATTATTTCAGAACGTCTTATTCCATGTACTTATTGTTATTCTGAACATTCATTATTAAAAAGTAAATATACAGCAATATGGTTAGAGGCAATTAAAAATTAAAAATTAAGAATAATAAATAATTGAAGAAGATGTTTTATTTTGATAGAAATTTTATGATTTAAAATTCACAAAAATGTTAATAATAATTATAAGAAAAATGAAATAAATGATTAGAAAATTCTATTTCTTTTTATTCTTTCTGTTTCATCTTGAAAAGATATTAACATGAAAAATTATCATTTATCCCCTTCTTTGTTTAACTTATATATTGAAGAAGGTTCAACAGAAAATATTCGTCATAAACCTGATACAAGAGCTTTAACAAAACAATTAACAGGAAGAATTCGAGAAACATATTGGCATATTTTTCCAACTCATTATAGTTTATATACAAATAAAACACCAATAATACTTAATGAAATTACAGAAAATACTACAAATTCAGGATTTGATAATGAAGAATATGATCTTATTATTAAAGAAGGAGATATACTTGGAAGTGCAACAAGTTATGAAGGAAGATATTATTCAGCAAACCCTGAAACAATTTCAAGATATCAAATTCTTAATAGATTAGGAAATGGTATGTTTGGACAAGTATTTAAAGCAAAAGATTTAAGTAAAGAAAGAGAAGTTGCTATTAAAATTTTAAAATCAAAAGGAACATATTTTAGACAAGGAATGTTAGAAATATCAATATTATCTATGGTTTGTTTAATATAATTTTTAACAAATAATAAATAAATAATAAGAAATATTTATTTTAAAAAATATAGTTAAATGATATATATGATAAAGATGGAACAAAAAATACAGTTAGAATGCTTGATCATTTTCTTTATTGTAATCATTTATGTATTGTATTTGAATTACTTGGGTTTGTTTAACTTTTTTTTTGTTTTATTACTTTTAAATTAATAAATAAAAATAATTAAATAGAACAAATCTTTATCAAATGTTACAAATAAATGAATATCATGGATTTAATATTCTAAAAGTAAAAAAATTTATGACACAATTACTTGAATGTCTTGATAATTTATATAATGCACATATTGTTCATTGTGATATTAAACCAGAAAATTTAGTATTTGATCAAACAACAAATGGAATTAAAGTTATTGATTTTGGTTCTGCTTGTTTTGATAATTATACTTTATATACTTATGTTCAATCAAGACATTATCGTGCACCAGAAATTATTCTTGGAATTCCTTATAATAATGCTATTGATATGTGGAGTGCAGGATGTATTGCAGCAGAATTAGTATTAGGAATTCCATTATTTCCAGGAAATAGTGAATTTAATCAATTATTTAAAATAATTGATATGTTAGGATTACCACCAAAAAATATATTAGAACAAGGATCAAAAACTTTATGTTATTTTAATAAACTTGGAAATGATGAAAATATTCGTTATATTATGAAACAACCATTTGAATATGAAATGGAAAATAGAATTAGATTAGAACCAAATAAAAAATATTTTAGATTTAAAACATTAAAAGAATTAATTATGAGAATTCCTTTAAAACTTGGAGGTGGAATGAAAGAACAAATTACTAATTTAACAGAAATTAGACTTTCTCTTATTCATTTTATTGAAGGTATGCTTAATTATGATCCAATGAAACGTTGGACTCCTTCTCAAGCTTTATGTCATCCTTTCTTAACTGGTCAACAATTTACTGGTTATTGGGAACCTCCTTTATCTGCATCTCAACCAAGACCACCTGAAGATGATATTTCTCCTGGAATATCAAGTGAAGAATTTACAAAGAAATGTTTTGGAAATGATATAATATTACATGGTTTAAATACTGCTGAATATTATGATATTTGTACATCTGCATTACAAATGGGTGAAGTCGTCAATATTACTTGTCCTAATCCTTTCCAATTACCTCCTATGACTCCTGACTCTTTTAGAAA